TTTGGTACCATTTTTGGAAGAATGTCGATGGCTTTTTTGATTTTGAAGGAGTCGACGATTGTATATATGTAGCATCTCCTTAATCTTAGCCCGGCTTCTCCCGTTTGCACCTATCGCTGTTGTCTAAATTTTGCATGCAACATCCCATGCACAATGAGGGAATGGTAGATAGCAGTGACCACCAACCGCTTACAACCTCTTTGTGCATGTTAATTCGCTTGTATGAATTGAGATGGCTTAAGAATGTTAGTAGTTGAAAGTGTGTTTGATCGGCAAGAGGGGGTGAATGGGAGATTATTTATAAAATTCTCGAAAGAACCTATTTTTCGAAGAACAAAGAAATGAATAGTACAGTACCAAGTACAACGAAGATACCCATCATCAATAAGTTTAGCTAGGTTACTAGTTTATCTTCTGTGAATGATTTACAAGTCGTATTAAATGTTATCTTAGAGAGATATAGTTCAGTACCAAGTATAGAGCAGATAGACATCATCAACAGGTTATTGAACCCAATAGAGACATTTGTCCAGAATAAAACAATGTGACAATTAGGAGGTACCAAGCTCATCGTAAACATCTCATGTACTCTAGATTTTTTTTGTGTATATCTAATCATAAACCTGCGAGATATTTCTCACCGCCCAATTTATATATCTCTGCAAAAATTGGTAGCGATACACACATACATATACACTACATAATGTATGTTCACAAATAAAAATAAATAAAAACATGTGGTTTTTCATTTCTTATTTTCTCACAATTAACTGGAATTCATTTTAATATGTTCTAATGCATAATGTATTAAACAATGTAAGCTTATTACCAAATATGGTTTATATTAGATGTGATTGTACTTTGACCAAAAATCTCTAATAACATTTAGTACGAATATTTATATTTATTTTGATTCCCCGGAGCGATATGTTTCCAATGCCAATAAAAGACAACTCATCCAATAGTTTTTTTAACATCCAAACACCGACACAAGTATGTCTAGTGTGTAGCGCCACTAGGAAGCACTGGTATAGCGAGGTGCTATACAAACGGTTTTTAACCCCTTTCCGCGATGACATTTTAAACCGTCACCTAGTGAGTGTGGGCGATAAGGGTCCTTCCCACATGACCCAGAAACCGTCGGGGATAGGCTCTCCTGGCACACACGCTCGGCAGAATGAGGTCGTGTGCGACGGGCGAGGCATCAAATACGATTATATAGGCACAATCGGTTCCGGTCGTAAGTACATCCTACGCAATCAGTCACCAAAAAATATTTCCTTTTTTATATACATTTCACTCCTCCCACCAATCCACAGCACCGGAGATACCCATCTTTGTGTTTGGCTCTTGCTCTATCTCCACCTCTTCAAACTCACTCACCCTTTACTCCTCCAATGTATGTTTCTTATACCAAAACACATACGTGGTCAGCTGTAACTACGGGCCTAATTATTGAGTTTCTTATATTATGCCAAACCACATAAATCAAGAGGTTGGCTATATTTTGCTTGACTTGGCTAAATAGTTTCTTGGGCTTGCCTTTAACTAATGTATGTACGGTCTGCATCTAGCAAGATGCTTATCTGGTTTATATGTGTATATGCCAACTGGCTGCGTCCAGGCCTACTGTATTTCTTCTTATATTAATGCCTACATCAGAGTCTTGTGTCTGGCTTAATCATATAATTGTTTGACCTAACCAAATGCATAGTTCAGTGCACTTGCCTCAAATGTATGATTTGCATCTAGCTAGTTGCCTATTTATGTATACAATAAGTGTCGCTAGGCAGGCTAGAGAGGCTGGAGTTGCTCATATTATACTTGACTTGGCCGAAGACCCAACATAATTCGTTCCAACCTCACCACTAGGTATATTATCAATATACGGAAGTCTTGTCTGCGCCTATAGCGCCGGGCTGCAAATTAAGTCGCTTGAATATATATGCCTAAAACATTTCTTAACCTGTCTAAATGTATGATTTGTGGCAACAATAACGGCCATTACTTCTATCTATGCCAACTACTGGCATGTTCATCCTTTCTATGTAATAAATGTACACCACATGGTTGTGCAGTACCATCACATGCCTACTGAACTTCTCATATTAACCTTTACATCGAGTCGAGCGTCTGTCTTAATAAGATACTACCTACTTGCCTTGGGAAGCTGAGTATACTTCCCTTAAATAGTTAACTTCATGATCTCCATCTAGCTAGTTACTTATATATCTAAGCCAACTGACACCTAGACTTGATCCTAGTAGTATTATACTTCCTCCGTCCCAAAATTCTTGTCTTAAATTTGTCTAGATATGGATGTATCTAACACTAAAATGTAACTAGATACATCTGTATATAGACAAATTTAAGACAAGAATTTTAAGATGGAGGGAGTACTTGACTTGGGCAGAAAACCCAGTGTGATTCGTGCAAATTAAGCTCGTCGGTGGTGACAGAGACACATGGGGGCTTCTATCTTTTCGCCTACAGAGATGGGACAGGTTCAGTTGCTTAATTTTGTGTGGTTTTCCCAGTATTGGCCGTTACTTAATTTCTGGGGATGCTTCATCCACCCCAGGGCGGTCGGCACGACAGAC